CACACATACACACACACACACACACACACACACACACACACACACACACACATACACCGGGGCATATGCCGAAAGAACAGACAACAGAACACACATACACTGTAGGTAGCAGCACCGAGCAGTGCTGTAAACAACTCTGGTCGCCCTTAGCAACGCGTGACAGGCTCATTGGGCGGAACCGGAGAGTAGGGGGCGGTAAACGGCCTTGTGGACAAAAGTGCTGGCAAGGATCCCTGTGTGCTACTGGTTCTGTGTATGGGCACTTTGAGACAGACTGTGACAACTTTTACTGTCAAATATACGCCGTTAATCCTTGTTGCTGTCAAATATACGCTGTCGTTTCTTGTTGCTGTCAAATATACGCTGCTATTTCTTGTAGCTGTCTAATATTATGCTATTATTTCTTGTGACTGTCAAATATACGCTGTTCCTTGTAAGTGACAATTATACTCCGTTATTTTTTGTTACCGTCAAATATACGCTGTCGTTTCTTGTAACTGTCAAATATGTGCTGTTCTTTGTAAATGTCAAATATACTCCGTTATTTCTTGTTACTGTCAAATATGCGCTGTCGTTTCTTGAAACTGTCAAATATACTCTGCTCTTTCTTGTAACTGTCAAATGTATGCTATTCATTCTTGTTACTGTCAAATATATGCTGTTCCTTGTAAGTGTCAAATATACTCAATTATTTCTTGTAACTGTCAAATATACTCCGTTATTTCTTGTAACTGTCAAATATACTCCGTTATTTTTTGTTACTGTCAAATATGCGCTGTCGTTTCTTGAAACTGTCAAATATACGCTGTTATTTCTTCTTACTGTCAAATAATATACGCTGCTTTTTGTTCTTGTTGTCAGATATACCCTGTTGTTTCTGGCGACCGTAAAATATTCCGTGAAATCTTTTCCAAGCTGTTAGCGAACCTCTAATCGTCTGATGCAGAAATGTGCACTGAACACACTCATCACACACACACATACATTCATACATACATACGTACACATACAAGCACATACACACATACACACGCTTACAAACACACACACACAGACATACACACATATACATGCATACGTACACATACAAACACTTACACATACAAACACATACACACATACACAACACACACACATACACACACACACATAAACACATACACAAACACGCATACACACAAACAAACACATATACACTCATGCACACATACGCATACATATACATAAAAACAAAGATACACACACAATACGCACATACATACACATACAAACACATACACATACACACATACACACACATACATACATACACTCACAATACACGCACATAAACACATACAAACACATATACATATACACACATACGCACACATTCATACACACACACATGCACACGCACATACACACACATACATACACACACACACACACACACACA